CTCGGCTGCCTTGGCTTGCGAGCGCAGTTGCGCAATCATCCCATCCACCTGTTTGGGATCGATCCGGGGCGTCCCAAGGAGCCCCCCGCGCCTCGTGAGCTGCATGACCACCGTGTAGTCCAACCCGCGCGTTGACTTGATGGGGTCATGGGAGTTAGGGCAGTCGCAAGCCTTCCGCGAGCAGCCCATGTGCGTGGTAGCCCCCCAGCAATAGGGACGTTGTCCTTATTGCGGGGTGCGTGTGCCACGGAGCGCGTGCGCTCCTGGCGTGTTAACTCCTTACCCGCCGGGTACGCCCTCTTGGGTGCCGTCCCCGCTGGGGCACCGGTGCCCGCCTTGGGCCCCGCCTTCGGCTGGGGCCCAGCCCCCGCCTTGGGCCTGTCGTCGCCTAACGCCGAGGGCTGGGGCTCGCCTATCTCATCACCCCCTCCCGCCTTCAGCGGTCTCTTCGTAAGGTGGGCGTTCAGTTGCCCATTGAGGAGGCGCGTGAGCGCGGCCTTACGCCGGGGCACAACTACCTGCTGGTAGTAGGCATTCGGATCCCCGAGGTCGAACGTTCGGGGCAGGTCGTAGCCATTCTCCGGCATGAGCAGAATGTACTTGATGTCCTCCTTCCTTGGGTTCTCGGTGTCGAGCTCCCGGCAGATCCGACGTCTAAGCTCCCGTAGCTCTTCGACCCAGGTACTCCGGAATTCTCCCCACAGATCCTTGACCCAGTGGTCTGGGAACTCCGAGGGACCCCTCTCGAAGGCCGCCTCCAAGAAACCCAGCGACCGCCGACGTTCAGCCCCGTGCGCTACTCCCACGATGGACTCGAACATCTGGATCTCGCACCGGGCCCTGTTAAACCAGGTCGCCATGTGCGTGGCGGGCCGCTGGTGGGGCTCCAATTTGTCGCCCACAGGGAGCCTGTAGCCGTCGAAGTCCTCGTCGCGCGCCGGGATGCAGTCATCCACTCCCAGGTCGTGCGGGCCCGTCCCAAAGGCGAGCGCCGCGTAGCCGTGCGCCACGCGGTTGGTAACCAGGCAGGGAAACCCGATCGTCTTGAGCGTGCTCTTGGAGTGCGCACACATGCGCTTGAGAGAGTCGAACAGATCCTTTCCAGTGATCCCCTCGCAGGCCTCGACCACGAAGGTGTTGCATCCTCTGGCTATGTAGAGATCCAGTTCCTCGTCCCGACCGATCCCCGCCCGGGTGCCCCGGGCCTTCTTGTCGCCCTCGGTGGCCCGCGCCTGCCGCTCGGCGGCAAGTACGTGGCGTTCGGTGAGGCGGTTCTGGCGATCCAACCGCTCGATGACCTCGGCTTCGGCCTCGGCCGTAAGGCCGCCCAGGGCCCCAGGTGCCCCGGCGTCGTCCGGACCACCAGCACGCTCTCCACCCATCCCGCCCCCGTGGGGGCGACTGGCCGGTGAGTTGCCCAAGGACCGAGGGTCCGTCGAGGACCGAGGAGCGGATTGGCCCAACGAGCGGGGCCCCCGCGTCCCTCGCGCGCCAGTAAGTCGCGATCGCCCAGTAGGCCGCGACGCGGGTCCGTGGGTCGGACGGCGGGCATGGCCCCGAAGAGTTCACGCCGGGGCGCCTGCCTCGGGCTGGGATCCCGTCCCCGCACCGAGCGGCTCCGATCCCTCGCGTGAGAGGCTGCCCTGCAGGGGAACCTTGTCGCTGGCCGCGGCACGCTCCCGCGGGCGCGCCTCCAACTGCGCATCCTCCAGATCCGCGAGGGCGCGCTCCAGGTCGGGCCCCAAGGGGCCCGCCGCCGCCACTTGAGCGACCCTTCTCCGCAGCTGCCGGTCCGCCTGATCAAGTGGAATCCCGAGTAGGTCAGCGGTCATACCCAGCGCGCTGAGGGCCGCTGCTTGGCCCCCTCGTCCCTTGAGATCCTCCGCTCGCAGGGTATCCATAAATATCTCGAGGGGATCAGGCTCCTCAGCATCCTCGCCCGCGCTGGCGGCGGCCGCCGCCGGGCGCGGTGGGGCCGCCACTGGGGCCGGGCGGGGCAGGCCCCCCATGCCGGGCGCAAGCTGCGCCCCCTGCGCGCCGCCCCGCCGGTGGCGGCCAAGCGTGCGTACCGGGTCGTGCTGTAGCAGCTGGCGCTCCGCGCTCGTCAGGCAGCGCCGCCCCCAGCCGCTCGCGCTCTCCACGCCCACACCGCCCCACTGCTCCTGGCGTAACATCACCAGCAGATCCTGCGGGATGTGGTGGGCGATGACACGCAACCCCACCTCCCGCGCGCCCTGGGGAACCTCGCACAGCAGCCGATTGATCCAATCTATCGGGTAGCGCCCGTCCTCCAGAGGGGGCGGATGCCGCACAACCTCGCCGGCTGGGACCTCCACCCTGACACCCTCGAGGCTGGTCCCGATGACAAGTCGGGCGTCCCCGCCCGTGCCTCGCACGTCGAGCCCTTCGCATTCACCCAGTAAAATGTACCATGGACTCGCCGGGGGCGCGCCGCATGCATCCTCGGCCCCCCGGGGGTCGTCTGGGAGTATCGGGCAGACCTTCACGAGGATGGGCCCCTGAAGCCACCCGCGATGGGCGATCCGATCGCCCGGGGCTCCACGGTCGGCGGACCGCGAGCGTTCGCTGGCCCTCGCTTCCGCGGATCGTGATCGACGCGGCTGCGGTCCAAAGGCCAGAGCCTGGACCCTCGTAGGGTCAAGATCGACGGATGGGGCCACCGCGGGGCCCACAGCTACCCTTCGCCATGCGGAGGCATGTGGGAAGGCTGCACTTGCGGCCGATGAGGGTGGACCGATACTTCTGAGCATGGTGGGCATAGAGATGCACCTGGGCATTGAGGCAATGCCCCGGCCGAGGGACATCCGACACCTCTGCACCTTCCTGAAGCAGGACAGTCGCCTCCTGCATCCCTCGGTCACCGCACCCCTCAGGCTGGAGGGGGCGTGCTCCGCCTGCTAGCTGCACCCCAACTTGTGCGGCTTGGCAGGGGCGCTCCTCAGCCTCCACCTCGCTCTCCGAATCGATATCCAGGCGGCGGCAACCCGCGGCGTCGGTGATGTAACGGGGCTCCGGCCGAGCCCGGCACAGCCATCCGAACACCGACCAGGGCAGGCAGAGCAGCCATTTGAGGACCCCGAATACCTTCCGGAGTCCCACGCCGACTGCCCGGCAGGCTGTAGCCTTTCCGTGCTCAGCTAAGTCCACGATCTGCGTGTGGTCGATGGCCGCGTACTGGACGACATGCATGGGGTGCGCCACCGGGCATGATGCGCACTCGACGGCACGGCATAGATGCACGTTGTCGGTCTCCTCGAGGTTCAGTCGCCACTTGCGACTGGTGCACCCCAGGACCTGCCCGATCTTGATGTTGAGTCCGTGGCGGTCCAGCCGATACCGGTCCGCGAAATTGCAGCTGACACGGGCCACCTGCCCGTGCTTACGCAGGAGCACGTGGTTGCACGCCCGATTAGTCCCCCGGCCGCGCACCCCTTTTGTGTAGAACTCCGTTTCCACCACGCCGCCTAACCCCGGCCCGCGCCTGCGCACCAGCAGGGGCGCCGGGGGGGGTGGGGGGAGGTGGGCGCCGGGCCCGTCGCCTCCGCGCCGCCGGCAGCGCCAGGTAATCTGGTACCACGCCCAGCGGAGCCCCCTGGCAACCCACAGCATAGGCTGAGCTGCAGTGTTGACGATGAAGGCCAGGGCACCCAACACGAACGTGAAGATGCCCAACGCGAAGCAGAGGACCGCGGTCTCCCACCAGTACCCGAGCATCTTAACGCCCAGCCGATCGATGGCGGATCCCCAGCCACCGCTCGTGCGGATCGTGCCCGTGTGGTCGGGAGAGCTCACCCATGCACCGTAGCCCACGAACTCGAAGACCCAGGCGGCGAGGCCCCAGTCTGGACCCGACTCCGTCTCAGGGGGCGGGGTGGGTGGCGGAGGTGGTGGCGGGGGCGTGCTCCAGCCGGCCCACCAGTGGGGCAGGTGCGGGACCCAACCGCTCCACCCCCAGCATCCATCCGGCCCGCGCAGCTGGTCAAGCTCGCCATCGCCCGTCCGGTTCTCCGGAGCGGATGGCTGCCCAGGCGCGCCCATGGGCTCGTCGCTCTCCTCACGTGCCGGCGTAGCAGGGCTGCCCGAGGGCTCGCCCTTGCCTACGCGCCCGGTGCCCGCGGGGGTGGTCGTTGTCGTCGACCTCGCCCGCGGCGGCGAGGGAGTGCCTGGCACCCCCGGGGGCTTGGCCTGCGGCCCTCGCCCCTTCCCTCCTTCAGGCGCGGGCTTGGCGGGCGGACCCCGCCCTTTACCTTGCCCCCCACCGCCTGTCGGTAGGGCTTTCGGTCCGGGCAGGGCTGGCGGCGTCGGCGCTGGGACCTCGTCCCCCGCGCGCCCGAACGGCAGCCAGCTCAGTGCCCCTTGGACCGAGAACGCACCACCCATAACCAGGATCATCAGGTGCGCCCCAAGGAAGCCCACAGCCATGGCACCGCAGCAGCGCCCCCTAGTCCGCGGACTAGCACGGCTGCGGTTATGGCCGCACCGCGGCCCCCCGGAGCACCCGCGCGTCGGCCTGAGCCGAACGCTACGGACCCAAAATGGCTACCTGAGCCCACACCCCCTCCCACTTAACCTGCATTCTACAAACCAATCAGACTATACAAGAGAGTGCAACACTTAGGTTGATTCGCTGCGTTGAAATCTCAAGAACGGTGTTGTGGCACGATTCACACTCGCTACGACGCAGCAGTCAGGTTGATCCGTGGCGTTCGAATCCCGAGAACATTGTTTTGGCATGCTTCAGGGTCTTCAAACGGTTGTCTCCCAACGAGGCAGTTTCCTCTGTGGAAATGAACCGTTGTAGGGGCCTGTGAAGAGGGAGCTCGGAGAGAGGGTGTATTCCAACATCGTTGGTGACTCTTGGGTTTCCATTGGTCCGCCTCCTCCCCCCCTCGATCCTCGATCATCCCTCTCGACTCTCGATCCCGTGACACGCCGAGATGCCCCTCGTGCCCTCTCTGCCCTGCCGCGGCTGGCCCCAC